TCTGAACTGGCTTCATCACTCTGCTCTCCTCCCCACTGGGAGCTGGTGTGTGTGAGCAGACTGGAGCATCATCCAGGAGGGGCTGCACACTGGTGCTGGAGGGGATCCCCATTACCTGTAAAGAGTGGAGTGTCCAGAAGAGCGCTATATAAGTGTGAGGATATTATCATAAACTGGACCCTTGCTTGAACTTGAACTTGAACTTGAACTTTATTGCCATATGTAACCGGGACTGGTACAATGGAATTCTTACTTACAGAAAGTCTCTCGATTGTAAAACCAGTGTAAAAAACAAGACAAAGACAGGCTTGGTGACCTGAGCAAATCACGCTGGTCGAGAGATGAGACCTTTCTCTTTAGTGCCGCAAAAAACATTGCCTTTGTATGGATATTTACTGGGAAGCTTCCCATCTTCCACAGAGCTGCAAGCAGATCAGAGCAGCCGGATAGATCGATCTGGGGTGCAATTCAAATCATGAAAACCCCAGCAGCTGGGCTGGGGTTTTGACCAGTGAGTTCATGTGCGTGCGCGCCGTCCCTGGTCCTGGTCCTGGTCCTGGTCCAACCGTATGTTCAAGACTCCAGCGAGCAACAGCACATCGACTCCGCCTGTGAATTGCCATTATTGTGTGTGTGTGAGATTTCTACGACCCGCCACGACCTCCGGGACTGTCCAGGAAACTGCCGCCCGGCGGAAATGCGCAAAATGAGAATTGTTTCAACCAGCGCGCCACAGCCCTGTCACCCACCTCACTTCTGTGAAATGACGTGCTGGGCTCTCTTGGTAGCCGGATCGGGACGGACGCCGGACCCGACCCGTTAGCTCGCGAGCCGGCGGCTAGCGTCCGAGCGTCACTTCCGCTCCGGACGTGGCGAGACAAACTGGTACCTACAGCACGTTCCGCTTCGCTTTCTCCTCCTGAGCTCAGAATCAATTAACAAGGTCGCCCCAGGTCGCCCCAGATTGCGGTTCCAACAACAGTCGTGGCTGGCCTAGAACAAATCGGTGGCTGTCCGTCCTAGACCTTATCGTTTTAGAAACTTTAATTTAAAAAAGAATCACCACCGCGAATCTTTGAGGTTTCGCATCGCGCAGGTGCGACACTATGTGTTAAAAATAAACTGTGTAGGACGGGCCGGCCCCTTAATTCATCCATTCCCCATCCTGGGCTCATGCATCCCAGCCCCGGCTGATTAAAAACGCAGACACGCGACGGTGCCCCCCAGCGGGCCAAGAGCGACACCGGCTCGACCTCGAACCCGGGGCCGTGCGCACTCAGGCAGGGCTGCGGACCGAGGTGGGTGTGGGTGTGTGTGTGGGTGTGGAGCCCGTCTGCGCAGCGCCAGAGCTCCAGCACACCGATCCGGAGCTCCGCTCTGCTCGGCTCGGCTTCACCGCACTTGCGACAGATCCACAGCTCAGGCACCAACGCCGCAATCTCTCTCCGTCAGTTGCCGTCAGTATGTTTTTCTTTCCTTATTTTTGTTCAGCTGCTTGGGCGAAGCGCTGGCGAGCTGTCTTTTTCTGCTGCCTCTGCGCGTTTTGAAGGACGGACCCGGGAGTAGAGATAAGATACCATTTGGGTCAAGGCCAGCTCTCTCTCTCCCACTGCCAGTCCCCGAGCCTGTCACTTTTTGATTAGAGCGATGTCGTAAATAAATTATACAAGAGAACTGGCGTCGTGGAGTGTCGCCTGGTAACCGGGGCTCCCGCCCCTCCCGCCCCTCTCGTAGATCCTGCAGCGCCGGACCCGGGGCTCAGAGGGCGATCCGCTTTTGAGGGAGAAGGGAGTCCGATCCGGTCCGCCACTTTAACACAACCGCCGAGCCAGAGACGCCGAGGACAGCGAGGATGACGGTCCAGCCGGGGAGGGTGTACCTAGTGACGGGCGGCTGCGGGTTCCTGGGTCAGCACCTGGTCCGCTTGCTGGTGGAGAAGGAGGAGACGGTGTCGGAGGTCCGGCTCTTCGACCTGCACGTGGACCCCAGCCTGGAGCAGCTCGGCACAGGTGAGGCCGGTCCGGGGTTCGAGGCACTGGCTGCCGAAGGCGCTATACAGGCGGGAAGACCGGCAGCGCCTGCTCGGTCGGGGCAGGTGGCTGTAAACCCGCTCGGTCCCAGGGTGAACCGGATTGACACCCGAGAGCGCTTCGGGCTTCAGCCGGACGGACGTCCCGGAGAGCGACGAATGCCGGCGGAGACCGGACTAACAGCGCGGGGTCGAGCCGACCCGCACCGAGGTGACCGCGGCGTGTCCGTCACAGGTCCGGGTGTCGCGGTGTCTCAGTCTCGCCGGTCCCGGCGGGCGAGCTCGGTCTCCTCCGTGATTCGCGCTCGGGGCGCTGAGCGCGGAGTGAAGGACACGCGAAAGCGCGGAATCGGCGCGGAGGCCGGTGGTTAGCGGGTCCGTCCTGCGGGTCCCGCGTGTCCCTGTCCCGCGCGAACGTGTCCGGCGACGGTCCGTTAAAATAAATCTGGAGACCTGCAGCGCTCTTCAACATGATGTGGGGTTAATCGTGCTGAACGTAAAGTGCTGTTCTCACAATTTGCCAGCACAATGGCTTTTGCTGACGGAGTGAACAGCCCGGCTGGCAATGAAAGTAGCGACATCGATCGCGGCTCGCGTGCCTGCGGCTCAGGGGGAGCCGGCCGCGAGACCAGACTCAGAGGTACCCGAGGGCTGCGATATGCAAAACACAACAGCTGTGAAGGGCGAGAGGAGGCCCTCGGCCCGTTTGGGCTATTAAAGAGAACTGATCCCAGGAACTCACCCAGCCTGTTCCACACCCCCACCACCCTGTATGTAAAGTAGAGCCTCCTGTCCTGACTGGAGGATCTCAGCCAGCTGTCTAGCTGCGCGAAGGTGCCCCCCCCCTCCCCCCAAACAGCACAAATGATGAAACCCACCTCAGTCGTTAGTGCTGGGTTTGTGCCGTTGATAGTGAATACGACGTAAATACGAAGACATGGGTAATGAGTAATTCTTAACAACCTTAGGTATATGTTCAGTTACTTTACCTGAAAATAATATTTTCCAATATTTCCGCAGTCTGCATGTGTGAGCCGGCAGTCTCCAACGTTGTTATGAACTACTCGGGTCACCTTACTACATAGAACACAATGAGAAATTATTATTCTGATGATTCTTCAGATGTTTAAAAAAGGACACAGCTACGAAGTATTGAGACGTGCTCGTTAAAGCCTCTTTGTAAAAACATGCAGTTGCTTGCTAATGTTCGCCTTTTAAGCCTACATCCGCAACTGTTCTGATTAGGGTATGATATCCATGACAATTTTTAATTTAATTTTAATGTTCACACAAACACGCAGAATATTCTGGTGTTAAATGCAAAAACAAACCACCCCCCGGGAAAACAGGGAAATAAAATGTCAGGTACTCTTACTCTCCCACCAGTAACAGACGCTTGAACTCGGCAGACGGGGTTACTCCAGGTCAAAGTCGCCATACATGGTCACGCGATCACCCGAAAAACAAGGCGCTATATCCCGGGAACGAAAGCAGCACAAACGCTACTTTCAACGGCACAAACGCAGCACTAACGCATGAGGCCGGTAAGGCTCCCCTACGACGTTGTAGGAAGGCGGGGTGACATCACCACCCCCGAAAAAAACAAGCATCTTCACGGAGCTTTGCCGTCTCCTGTTCCACACTCCCACCACCCTGTGTGTAAAGTAGAGCCTCCTGTCCTGGCTGGAGGATCTCAGGCAGGTGTTTCTCGAGAGAAGCCAGGGCATCGGCTTCCACAACATGGCTGGATATCTCTCTTTTGTCAAACGCGGTAGCCGCGACGTTACTGAACCTTTCGACCTTGAACCACGTACTACCGTCTTTCTGTCGCGGGGGTCGTGCACAGGTGTTCTTAGTTGAGGCCTTGCTGAGCAAAGAAAACATGGCAGTGGATATGAGTTCTCTGTTAACTTTTATAACGGCTTTGTGTTGATTTGGAAGAGAGGTTTCCCGCAGATGAAGTACAAGAATGGTCAGACTTTGATCAGCAAGTTAATGCTTTAGGCTCAGAATAGACAGAGTTTTTAGCTGAAAATACTGTCATAGATACACGCTGCACTGGCTTTAACTGTGCTGTGCGTGACAAAATTAAATGGAAACTAGTTACAGACTTTGCTGATGTGGTGACCTTTGCACTTCAGAACGAACAGTTTTGTGACCTTGCAAAGCTGAATTAAGCATTTGGATAGATAGATAAGACTGTATTGATCCCGAAGGGAAATTGATGTGTTACAGTAGCTCAAGACAAGCAAAAAAAAAACCAGACACCAGGATAGACAAAAAATTAGAATACGTACAGTAATATAAAATAAATAAATACATAGGTGTGTGCAAAATATGATCATAGTCACTGTAAAAACAATACAAATATGTGCAAAATGTGCATAGGCTTATACAGATTGAGTGTCCAAAAAGTGCAATAGTGCAACATGCTGTCCATAGACGAGCAGATGAAGGGCTGACAGTCCTAGCCTAGGGCAGTGTTACACACCCTGACAGCCGCCGAGAGGAAGGACCTGCGGAGTCGTTTCCTTGAACACCGTAGCTGGAGCAGTCTGTTGCTAAAAGTGCTCCACTGTCTAATAACATTTGGCTATGCCGATGAGAATTAATAGCTTTCAAATGGATGGAGGGCTCATTAGTCAGGTTTACACAGAATGGGCAAATGCCAAAGAAAGGAGAGAGAAAAAAATTAATGAATTATTCGTACACCGTTGGGACTGTCGTGATATCTATGTGCATTATAAACTGCATAACATTAGAATAAAACTAAATTGCCCCCAAAAACGAAGTAGCTCACATTTTCTGTTAAAACAAGCAAATACAATTTTTAGTAGCTACGAGAATGACTATATTAACACAAAAGAATTTCGGGTTTACAATTTTACATCAATCTACATCAATTTAGTGCGCAGAAGGTTTTGTCACTGGGGAAAAACAATGGCACAACTTGAAGTTTTTGCGCACACAGGCCATTAGAAATTAGAGGGAACGTTGTTCGCCACTAGTTTTTAAGAAACGGGGCCAATTTGGAAATTTGGATCACAGCTGGCGCAGGGTTCCCCACGCGCCTGCAGGGATGCGTCACCCCTGAGCTCGGTTCATGAATCGGACCGTGACGTGTCCCGGGCACTGGACGGACTGGAGCTGCGCGGGTGTTCTCGGCTTCTACCTGTTCTTTTCCTGAGTGACGTCAGATGAGCGGAGCTGGCGAACCTTCCGATCAAGAAACGCGTCGGTTCAGACGGAGGGGGTTAGCTGAGGCGCGAGGGGGTAACGAGCGCGAGCCGGCAGGTGCGGTGGGGGAGAGCACGAGGGCGCCGGTCACCCGCCTGCGTGCGGCTGAAGGTTCGGTAAAAGCTGTCGCGGGTTCGGCCGGTTCGAAAGGGACGAACTCTGGACCTCTGCTGCAGCTTCATCTTCTGCGCTATAGCTGTATAGAGACTAAACCTCTGTTTAAACCGGCACAGTGGTTATCACAACTTAATACAACAACAATAATAATAAGCTTGAAGTTAACTGGATTCCTATGCACGATTGGACATAGTAATATCCTCACACTTATATAGCGCTCTCCTGGACACCACTCAAACAGGTTACAGGTAATGGGGATCCCCTCCAGCACCAGTGTGCAGCCCCTCCTGGATGATGCTCCAGTCTGCTCACACACACCAGCTCTCAGTGGGGAGGAGAGCAGAGTGATGAAGCCAGTTCAGAGAGGGGGGTTATTAGGAGGCCATGATTAATAAAGGCCGGTGGGAAATTTGGCCAGGACACCGGGGTTACACCCCTATTCTTTTCGAGAAACGCCCTGGGATTTTTAATGACCACAGGGAGTCAGGACCTCGGTTTTATGTCTCATATGAAGGGTCCACTGAGGCGCGGGTCTCCATTGCCTTTAATTATTCTTAGAAAAAGGGAGAAGAAGGGTTTCCTGTCTGGAACCCGGTGCGCCGTGAGCTTCGAGCGTTAACTAACGTGTTCATTACGGTGAGCGAGTTTTCGCCAGCGGACCCCGCGCCGTTCCCAGCCGCACAGGGAGGACGGAGCCGCTGTTCCCACCCGAGGAAGGGAATGCGTCAGTCGGAGCACAGCTGGGCTGACCCGATGATGTGGTGAGGGAGCACATCTGGGCCGCGCCGACCGCGCCCGCAGGCGAGCTGGCCGAGAGGCTCCTGCTGCCCGCCTGCCTCAGGGCTCCACTTCCGGTGCGCGACCTCCGGGGCTTCCTGCTGTCCTAGCGGTCAGGGGGGACAGTGTCCTGGACACACATGCACACTCACTCCCACAGTCTCACACGCGCACACACACACCCTCACACTCATTCTCACAATTTCACGATCTCACACTCCCACAGTCTCACACACACACGCACACACACCCTCACACTCATTCTCACAATGTCATGATCTCACACTCCCGCAGTCTCACACACACGCACACACACCCTCACACTCATTCTCACAATTTCACGATCTCACACTCCCACAGTCTCACACACACACGCACACACACCCTCACACTCACACACACACTGCCCATCTCACGCACACACGCACACACACCCTCACACTCATTCTCACGATCTCACGATCTCACACACGGACACACACTCTCAGACACACTCATGCTCACACTCGCACTCTCACACTCACATACACAATCTCACAAAAACTTTCACACACACACACTCAGACACACTCATGCTGACACTCTCTCGCACACTCACTCTGTCTCTCTCACACACCCTCAGGCCACTCCTCAGGCTGTGGAGCCTCAGTGTCGATACCTTCAGACATTAGAAACACAAGACCGGTCGCAGACTGTTTGGCTGTTAGTGGACAGTAGATCTCAGGATCTCATCCAGTTCTTTCGTGAGAGAAACCAGGGTATCGGCTTCAACAACATGGCTGGGCAGCCTGTTCCCCACTCCCACCACTCTCTGTGTAAAGAACTGCTGCCTGTTCTCCGTTTTAAAGGCTCTTGCCTGTAGTTTCACCTATGTCCTCTGTGTCTGGACAAAGAGCTCATGGATTTTTTACTCTTGGGATTACAGTGTGGGTGTACGAATGCGGACGCTCACTCCCTCTACCTCTCTGCACGTAGAGTTTCCAACCTGCACGGAGCTGCTTGTTTCATTTCCAGATGCCACTTCCTTGTGGTTGAAAAGCGGGGTGCAGACGGCCCCCCAGCCCGCCTCCCGCGGGGCAGATGGGTAACAAGATCGGGTGGTGCCAGGGGCGGCGATGGCGGCGAGATTCAGAACCGCGCGCACAGGAGGAGAGGAGGGCCTGGGGTCGGCCGGGGTGTGGGCCTCGAAGCCGAAGGCAGCGTAGGCGAAACCGGGTCAGATCGTGGCGCTGCAGT